GATGGTGCGCTTAGAAAAGTTTGCATATATGCATTAATGATTGTTTAAGATTGTTTAGTATTCTATCTATACCATTTTTTTTTTTTAAATAGAAAATTTGAATGAAGAAATTAACGTTAATCGTAATCGGCTTTACTAAATCACACCAGTGGCATTCTAATATATCTCAAAAACGTACTAGCTAACACGTCAGGAGTACTGTACGTACTATGCAAAAATGTTTAGCACCCCAAAAAACCCCACCTTAACTAAAAATATGGGTTGAACACCACTGGTGTGATTTAGTGTTATTGAATCGTAATTGACCAAAAAATTTACTCAAAGTTTTCCTAATAAATCAGTTATCTATTAAGTGAAAAATATTTCTGGAAAATTTATATTTTTTGTAAAAAAAATTAATTCCGGCCAAAATTGTGTAAAAATTATGTAATACGGGCAAAAATTTTGTGATCACAACCGTTGGCCAATCAAATCGAGAATCTGCCGTGTCAAAATCATGATTATTAAAGATTATTCTGTGCTATGTAGGGGACGGGGATGGTGTTAATCAACTATTCAACCTTAAGTGGCCTTACTCTCGGCAAAAGAATAACATATATGCATGCCAAATTTAACCACGATAGTTAGTGTGAGGATGATAAAAGTATTGCGGACAAACGCCATAATTAAGTTGGCTCGAAAGTATGATAAATCCATAGTATATGACTATCAGTGTTACCTGGTTAAAGTCGCCTACCGACGTATTTTTATTTTGGTGTGTAGAATACTTTGGGTAAACTCGTCATGTCGAAGCACACCAGTTAAAGATTAGAACTGATTAGAACTGATTAATCGTTTAACCGTTTAGCCGTGTTAATCGTTACTAGCATAGTTCAGCCCGGAACTACGAGTTAATTATTATACGGCTAAACGGTTCCTTAGCACAAAACCAGTTTCAACCAATCACATTTAGTTTTATAAATAAGGGTAGTTATTTTTGAATTCAGACCAAAATGTTATTATGTCATATATAAAATTGGTCCGGGTTCAAAAATAATTACCCATAATTATAACGTTTTGATGACTATAAATAATTTTCAAAACTAAAATAAACAAACACCCAATAAACCAAATTTTATTATATTTACTAAAATAATGTTAATAAATCATTATACAGTTTGAATAGTTTTTTTTGTAACACTCTATCCCTGAAGACTAAGTGTCCTTACTATGAATACATTCTAAACATTATTATATATATATATTTTTTTTAAACAACTTCACCGTCCCTTATATCTACATAACCATTTCTTGGTTTTAAATTACCATGCCTTTCAAATGGAACATCGTACAGTTCGCGCCAATCTATCTTTTGCATCATTCCACCATGTCCCTGTGACCAGAAATCCACACAATTATTCCAATATCCAAAATCAAAAGGATTTCCATTTCGATCATTGAAATGTTTTCGACGCGTCGTCCTTCTTCCACTAAACATTCTCAAAGATGTAGCTGAATGCTGAGAACTAAGACTACTATATCTCATACCATGTCTGTGATCACCGACAAAATTATTATCTGCATTATCGTCTGCTCCATAAATATCATCATCGTCATTATCATCTGCTTGGGAAGTTCTAGATGCACTAGGTGCAGCTGCCAATGTTGCCATAATCTGCTCTCGAACATTTATACTATTATAATTTCCAAAATAAGAATATCGATGAAGATTGGCCATTTCGTAAGTAGTTTTTGCTTTAGCAATTTGATATGCTTGCGTTAATATTAATCCTATTATCCAGATAACGTTTAATCCAATCCAAATATCTATGGATGCAGTCCACATGTCATAATGAAAAATTCCACATAGAACATCATTCAAAAAACATGAATCTGATGAATTTGGTATGTATGGAGGTGTGGAAATCATAAAATCTAATATTTTTAAATAGAATACAGAGATCATAAAATTAATACATGAGAGCATTTAAAATATTTTCCTTAAAACTGAGACTAAAATAAAGATAATCATACATTGATAACAGATATACTCAAAACTTATAATCGCTACCACCATCATCGTAAGATACACCATAAATGCGCGATGATTCCTTATTCCAATGCAATTGTGTATCCATGGGCAATGACTAAAGTGAAAAGATAAATAATTCAGGATTTCGTTAAGCACATTCATTATCACTTTTAGCCATTCACAAAAAAGTAAGAACGTACTGATCAAAGCGAGCGACGCATCTATTACAAATTTTACAATGCTTTGACCTGATGGGTTTTTTGATCTAAATTGAAATCAAAGGATTTTAATAACAAACCTCTGACTGAACATTGTAAAGTTCAATTAGCACTAACCAAGCATGTTCTACACATATGCCTCGAGTCCAGCATTTCTTTATTCGCAAGATCGACTATAGACTAAAGCGACAAATGAGTTAATTGGAAAGTATATTATAATACTAAAAATTTAAAAATTTAACTATTTCACACTAAGATACCTTCTTTTGGTCTTCACGAGAGTATTTGTTTTGAACGTATCCCGGGTCAATGAATAATGCCGTATAAAACGAACACAAGGTTAAAAAAAATGATGTGACAAATATTATATTTGGCACAAGTAAATACGATGTTACTATTGTTAATAAAATACAAATAGAGATTAATAGGATTAATAACGACAATGTCTAGGTAAAATGTAAGTCATTTTGTGCTAGGCTGTTTCAAGGATGTATACAAATTTGCTACAAAAAACATGAAGAATGCTTAAATCTTTTTGAATACTAATAAAAAAGTATAGAATAGTTAACATACAATAATAATGCCCTGACACTAATTTTAATCTAAAATCTATTTTGATAACTATCATGACTGAGACTGGAAATTGGACTTTAATAAAATTTTTCTTGATTGTTTTAGGATTTAGGATTGGAGGTTATAATAAAAGAGTATAAGTGGATTTTAATCCAATTTCTAGTTTCAATTGTTTCCAGCCTCAGTCGAGAGAATTCATTCATGAATAATACAGTATTGTTATCAAATACTTCGATAACATGTATAACCTAGCACAGAATACTGACATGCGTGATGATGTTGCAAAATTATATTTAAATACCAAGCATTAATTTGTAAACCCATGTGAAGCCAACCCAAAAAGCGCTTGCTTGAAATAAGCCCGTAAGATAAGGTGTTCGAATCATAGCGTTTGGTGTTTGTGCTCTTATGAGAATTTTTACTATTATCACGTAGGATGTTGCAAATTCCAATAGAGACATAGGCAATCCAATATACCAAGGATAATAAACCAAAGTTTTTAATATTGCATATATAAGAAAGAATGGAAGGAGATATATAATAGCAAATGTAATACGCTATTTAAATGCGATAAATATTAGAATCAAATCATACACGAATAACCTAAAGAATGAATATTTTTATGAAAGATAATGTAAAATACCTTTCCAAAA